TTTGATGCACACTCTTTCATGAAGACTTTCTAGGAGGTGCACCTTTAAATGGCATGTTTTCTATACAGCGTCAGTCCTGTGAGCCTAGTACAGGCAGTATTAAGGCAGAAGATTATAGGTTGTAAATAAATTTTCAAGTATGTTTTGGAGACTCCCTCATTTCTGTAGGGGGGGGGGCTGTTGGATCATTCAGTTAAGAAGGTGAATTGCTTTGCTTTCACTGATTTAACAGTGGACTCCAGAATTAAGCAGCTAACATTGTCACTTGAGTGCGATGAATTTGAGGGTGTGGATCATATGTAACTGTTTTCTCCGTGCTGTCGTTTAGGATGAAATTCGCAGAGAGATGGTTTATGTGTATCATTCTTTAAAGAACAGAAGAGAATCTCACATGATGGGGACAGAAGATGATACTGCTAGTGAGGAAGGCACAGCACAGGTTTGTTCCCACTGACAACACAAACGCACAACAAAAGCTACATTGCCATGTTGGGGTTTGCTGTGTTAGATGAGCTTGAGTGAGAGGGTAGCAGCTGGGTTCTGGTGTTATTCCTCAGCACCCACAGCATTTCTGCCCCTCCCCTATGTATGGAGATGAGCTGAGGCTACAACACTGAGGTAGTTAATAGTAGACCCAAGTAATGTAATCTCATGCTTAATTAATGTTTGAGATGTTAACAGGAGTTCTCTTGTGCATGCCTTATGTCTGAGGTAGCAAAGCTACTGAAGTGGCTAAAGAGTCTCTCTCTTGTGTGTCCTTCAGCAGATCCTTCATTGAGGCATGTGGTCAGTAGTAGCAGGGATCACTGTGTCTTTACGCATCATGTTTATGCTACTTTGAACCCACGTGAAATTCTGTATCCACTGGAACATACTGCAAGATCAGGGTGTTCATTTTAGGGTGGGAGGGCTCTGTATTGTGAGTAAAGGGTTAACGAACTCTTTTACTGAACTGTAAGGAGAGAACTTTTATGCTGTTAATAAGGCTGCAGATGGTTCTTCTCCATTCTTGCTTGGGGTATGTACAGTATGCTTTCGCTCAAATCATAAACACTCCTGAGGAGTGGCTGTAAGCTCTGCAGCTTTTTGTTCCACTTTATGATAGTAAGATGAGCTGCTCTATCTATCTTATCTTAGGCCTGTGACCTGAAACACTTGAATATACATCTGCACAAACACACAAGCTATGCCCAAAGACTGCATGTGCCAGATAGAAACTTATATGACCTTCCAAAAATAATGGGTAGGCAAGAGCAAAAAATTAGAAGTTATTTCATTCTTCACTGTGGAAACCACATGAGGAAGCCATGCACCTTAAGCCTCCCTACCTCATAAACTGTGCTAGAACATGTAAGAGAGTTCAGTTATTTGTCTAGTAAGAAAGTTGGCAGGGTGATACTCTTACAAGTTCCCAGTGTGGTATGGGAAAGAAGCATGCACTTGCTGATCAGTATCCTCACACTATGGTGTAATAAAGGACACTGCACTTGGCTGAAGGAATTACTTTTTTAAATTATTTTTTTCTCCCCAGCAGGCTCATGGACTGCGGTTTCCTCTGTCATACTTGGATGCCCTGAAGCAGATTTGGAGCAGCAGCACTCTTTACGTTAAAGAGCTCAATCTTATCTCGGATGAAGAGAAAGAAAACCTTGCCTTGTCCCTATGGACTGAATGTCTAATTGAAGTTATTTGATGCTTTTCTGAATGAGCTGCTCCTTTAAGTAGTAGGTCTGGCCATTAAGAATCTCTTGAGAGAAAGGCTTATTAAATTACTTTTTTATCCATCCAGCCTTTGGTTTGTATTGCTGAGAGAGATACATATGCCAAAAATTACTTTTGTTTCCTTAGCTTTCAGAAAACAGGTAAGCTGCTCGCTGTCCTGTGAGCCACAGCTCCAAGTCTGTGGATGGATGAAGTCACTCCTAGGAACACCAGTGCTGCGGTATTCCGTTTCCTCTGGATATATGCCTTTAGGTGTCCTCCAAATCGAGGTACACATGGGGCGGGCTCCAGGACCTTGGGCAAAAAACAATAACTTGTTTTTTCGTTTGTAAAGTTCACCAGTAAGAAAAGGCATTTGTTCATGTTTGTTTGCCCTGAGAGAACAAAAACTCCTCAGCAAGAGCTGTGTATGTTGTTGCCTGAAGGGGTAAAACTTTGCCCAAGAAAACCTCTTTCCTCTCAGATGCTGCCACCTCTGGAATAAACGAACAGTAGTATTTAACCTCTACCTCCCCCAGCATCAATTTAGTGTGAAAGTCACCCAAACCTGTAACTGTAGTCTGTATCTTCAGTGCTCACTTGAGTGGGTTTTGACAGGAGTAGCACAGCACAGTCACCCATCAATATACTTAACCTTTTTTTGGTCCATGCTGAAAACTACTGTTGTATTTAGTTTGTTTAAAAAGAAACCAACAAGCAAAATGTTACTGCTAAAAAAAGTTTTATACAATTAAAATATACATGCTTAGCATTTTACATTCAAGATCTCTTAAATACAAAAGCCTGCTTTACTTTGTTATGTAACATTGACAC